ATCGATGGGTCCGAATGCCGCGTGTACATTCATTATTCATTTTCAAGGCTTGCTCGCCATTCTGTACTCGCTGACCATAGAACTTTCGGTGCTCTAGATTTCTTTTACCACAAAACGGTCGGTGGTTGCGGTTGGTCAGGAGCACCAAAAGTCCCGCATCTAAAGCGTATTTCGCTTTAGGCGCTGATCTGAAGAACACGACGAAGCGGTGCTTTAATAATGATACTCGAGGAAACGTTTGTCAGATCGGAGAGAAAATAAATTATTAAATACAGTATAAATAGATTATTGTGATACACTGAGTTTTTTGCTACCAACAACTACATCCCTTTTACGTGTCTGTATTAACCCTCCGCAACCCATCTGGGGATTTAAAGATGATTTTTTGACTTTGAATTATTCGGTAAATAATAAAGAGAATGCATGACTTCGTCCCTTAAAAAAAGTTATCAATAGTAGGGACTTATCAGCCAAGGGACATGTTTCGTCAGTCGTGTTTCACACTGACAAGTCAAAACTGAGCATGGCTGTCAACAATCCAGGTGGTTGGCACAGTTGTTTTTTGTGGCCTATGTTTTTACTACTTTTAGCTTTCATTTCGACATAAAATGAGTGAGTAAAAAGTTATTTTCATCATAATAAGTATAGAAATTCAAAACAGACTCATATTCAAAATAGGAGAGCTTTGCTGAGAAAGTTGTGCGAAACGGAAACCTACTTATGCTTATCTTAACTGGTAATTTCTGAAATAAAATACTGATTTTTTTAAAAAAATAATTTTTTTTCTTTTTCTGTTATCCTTATTCTTATTTTCTAAACCTATTTCCAAACCTTTTAAACTAAAATTACTAATTTTCAGATTACCAAATAATTATACTTTTTTAAAGTAGGCACTATTTTTTCTCGCAAGTACTAATCTTAGACTATCTGAAACTATAAAGATTTTTTCTTATATGCATATATAAAAAAGTTATGAATTTGTTATCTCAACAATGCATTTTACCGATTCTGCCTTAAATTCTGATATGTAGAAAAAAATATTTCAGGTTATATAATTGTATAATTGTTAAATGTTAAAAAAGTATACTGGAACTTTTTTAGATTTTTTTAGATTCAAAAATCCTTTAAAAGACACAATTGTCCATCAGTGACTTAGGTTTGACTCAGTTGTGAGAATTAGAATGGATTATGAAGGATTAAGAATATTAATTTAATTTCGGAAAAAAGTGTAGCTGATATTTAATTACGTGTCACATTTGTGAAATGCATTAATGTGTGGGTGGGTGTTTCAAACATTTCTTCTGTCTTTATAATAATTTTCGCATAATCGATTAATTTGACGCAACATCCATTATCAGCTATCTGGAAAGCCATGCTATTAGGTGAATGCCAGTTTATCAGTCAGTACATGAGATGGCACGTTAACGATGTAGTATATTTGCCGATAGTAATAATAAGCCATGTTAAATCATCAATAAGATACTGGCGTGTCGATACGTTGCGACATTGTTTCTTCCTCATGCCAGAAATATTCCGTGCTATTTCTTGCGCACCGAGAATCGTATATAATTTATTCACTCGAATCTTTTTTCCATCTCGTGATTATTACGAGATTAATTGGTCCGACAATTGCGTGACAATTGCGTCGTAAGATTCGCACGATGAGGAATCAAGGACGATTTCTGCATTGTCTACTTGGCAGTAATTTCGCAGCTAATGCACGACGCAGCAAAATGCATCGCGCGTCGATTTTCGACGTCAGGCTTGGAGCCAGCGTTAAAAGCGTGGTCGAGCGATCGGAAAGGTGTCTCTTTGTAAATCGCAGAGATAACGAGGTACGTACACGAGGTATGCGCCACGAGTGCGCGAACGCCAATGTTCCTGGCAGCCGCGAGACGATAAGAGATCGAGCAACTGCCGCTCTGATTTATCGCTTTATCAGCGGCCTCCTTCCGGGCTCCGAGGTGGAGTGTCGAGGAAGGCGCGCGCGGAAAAAAAACGAGCGTCTCGACGATGATCCGTATATCGTCGTTGATGCGTGGCGATTAATCTCGGGGCTGGCAAGATGTACAGATCGCATCGCGAGATTAATGGAGCGCGGATGCGCTTCCTCCTTCTAACAGCCATTCGCAAACTTCGGCAACAATCAGATATCGGATTTTTCGCCGCCAAGGAAAGATTCTCCGAAGGGAGGTCGCGGATAACTTTTACGGCGGGAGAGGAGGAGGAGGAGGAGGAGGGGAGGGGGGGGGGAGGGAAGGAGGGTAGTACGGAA